TTTCCAGCAGATCAAGTTTTCATGAGAATTCTTTCTGGATGGAGTAGTGCCTGGTGTCACCCTTCCGAGGGACAGCAATTCTCAGCATCCATTGGGAAGAGGCAGCTGGGGCCAGAGTGGGTTTATATTGAGGTTGAGCCAGGAGGGGAGAAGCATCCCCGAGTAGAAGCGCTGGCCCACCAGGCTCTTGAGGATCCAGCATTTGCTCCCCATTTCAGAAATGTCTCCCCAAGAAGACAGCTTTTTCCTTTAAGCTAATGCCATAGCTGCTGCCGCCATTTCATATTCTGAAGGTTGTGGTAGACCAGAAAACCAACTCTTAGTTTGTTCTTTTTATGACCCTGGGAAAATAATTCCCAGTAGTTTGCCTAGGACGTGTATCTTGATTTGGTTTAGTTTGTTTCTTGATTGTTAGAGTTTCATCTTTCCAGGCCAGGGCTAGGGTGGCTGGCGCTCTCCGGGCCGTGCAGTGTGGGGTCTGCGTGTGGTATGACTCTCAGGGTCTGCTGAGAGAGGATGAGCACCTCCTCGAATGTTGCACCCTGGGTGCCTCGCCTGCCCCATCTCCCAGGTCCTTCTCTGGCACTCTGTCATGATGGACTGCCTGCCTGAAACAGCTGTGCATTCCCTGGGATTTTAAAGTACACTAGATTTGCCCTGTCGGAGACACTGGAAGTGTCTTTGAATGGCCTTTTAGGACATGGTTCTACCAGTCAGTCAACATTTATTAGGGAAAACTTCAGAAACTTTGGAGTACCTGAATGTTGTGTGGTGGGGAGAACGCATTAGTAGAGTAGATGTAATGTTTGCCTAAGGCATCTTATAATCCAGGGGAGGTTAAAGGGACAAGGTGAGACCAATAGAGGACATTGCTGAGCCAGGCAGTACTGACTTCCGGAGCTGGGCGGAGGGCGTAGAGGCAGCAGAGAGACTGAACTGGCCCCTGTCAGCACTGGTTGCCTGGGAAAGGTGGGAGAAAGGAAAACGGGCTGAGTGGCAGGGGCCCCAAGTCAGATGTGCGGGTGGGGAGCCATAAGGAGGAGGGCAATAAGGGGCAAATTGGGCACAGAGAGTCAGACTATAGGAAGCCCTAAGAGCCATGCCACAGAGACCACTGTGAACCTCCGAAGGAGACTGGCTGAAGGCAGTGCTTCAGGCAGGTAAATGTGTGATGGCGCCAAGCATTTGGAAGGGAGGTGAACCAAGGTAGCGATGACAAGGGTAAGGATAAAAGGTCAAGTCTAGCTGGCACTTTGAAGGGAAACACATCTTAATTACATGATTTATCCTATAATTGATGTGATAAAAGAAGTAGACAACAAAGACTCATCATTCCAGGACGTTTTAGAAGAGGGAATGAGTAATGATAGTTTGCATGCAGGGAGCGATGGGTAGGGATCACACATGGCTCTAGGGTTTGGAACCAGAGCCCTGGGAAACCCATGGCATTACAGACAGAAGTCAAGGTGATTGTGAAAGGGCGCGTTTGGGGAGGAAAGCTGGTGCGGTCTATCGCTGACAAATGTATGTGGTGAAAAAACATCTAAATGGAGCTGCTTTCTGTTCGAAAGATGGAGTGAAATGTAGGTGAGAGCTCAGGACTTTGCATGCACTCCACCTACAGAGAGATGGATTGAAATCGGGAAGTGAATAAATAGATGAGCTCACTGAGAGAGTGAAAGGGTTAGGGGAAGCAGAGCAGGGGCCGAGGACTTAGCTGGTGACTAATAATGACAAGAGAGAGAAGTAGTAGCCAAGAGGTAGAAAGGGGGAACCAGGTAAGTTCACTGTGGAGAAGTCTAAGGGAGAATTTTAAGGAGAAGAGCAAAATGCCACCAAGAGGTTGGAGAGATCCAGACTGAGAGAAGACGAGAGCAAGGATGTTGCTAGTTTTTGAAGAGCCACTGTTAGCAAAAGGGTGGGAATGGGAGTGGGGCAGAAGATGGATCATAAATATTGACGGACACATCAGAAGAGGATAGAAGGTGGCGACTGGTGTCGGGCAGGGGGGTAGCCAGATCTAGGGAAAATAGTGTCTTCCCTAGGAATAGAAGGACTCGGGCGTGGTTGAAATTAGAAAAGACACCCACTGACAGACTTAAAGATGCTAGAGAACAAGGGGAAGCAGGGAGAAGACGTTTCAATAGAGAGGTGGAAGCAGTGTGGGTAGCTAGCTTTAGAGGAAATGGAACGCCTTTTTCCTGAGCCTCAGGAGAAGGCCAGTGATAGACAGGAGGGAGGCTTTTCCATGAGGCACATGGTAGGGGACTGGGATCTCAGGGAAAAGGAAAGGAAAGAGCACTCACTGTTTGTCTTTGATGCACTGAAGCCTTCTAGTCCTCATTTGTTTCTTTTTTCTTTTTTTTTTTTGTATTAATTTTGCCTTTTTTTTTAAGGGTTTTATTTATTTATTTTTAGAGGGGGGAAGGGAGGGAGAGACAGAGAGAAATATCAATGTGTGGTTGCCTCTCACATGCCCCTACTGGGGGCCTGGCCCGCAACCCAGGCATGCACCCTGCTTGGGAATCGAACCAGTGACCCTTTGGTTCACAGGCTGGTGCTCAATCCACTGAGTCACACCAGCCAGGACTCTAGTCCTCAGTTGTTTCATCCATAAAACAAGGAGTCTGGACTAAAGGTGTCTAAAGATAGCTCAAAAATGTTATGACTTTTTTTTTTAATGTTATGATTCTAATGAGCTGAACAATGTCATCTGTATCTGATTTTTTTAAAAAAATATTTTTGATTTAAGAGAGAGGGTAAGGGAGGGACAAATAGAGGGCAAGAAACATCTATGTGAGAGGGAAACATTGATCAGTTGCCTTCTACATGCGCCCCAGGGCATGTGGGGTGGTTAGAGCCTCCAAACCAGGCATGTGCTCCAACCAACTGAACCACGCCAGCCAGGGCTGTATCTGATATTTAATACTAAATGCTGATGGCATTTATATTTAATTGTAGGATTTTATATAATGATGATCTGTTAGGAGCCATATCATTAATTATCAGTGCCTACTTATCAAAGCATTTAGCTGATTTAAAGTGCTTCATAGAACCATCAGAATAAAGTTAGGAAACCATTCAGCAATCAGACCTTCTTCCATCCCTATTACCAAATGTGCCCCTGTTTTTATTTAGAATTTGGACGGTCAAAATTCATGCTTATGGAATGATGCTTAGGAGAGACTGCTGCTCACACGGCCCAGGGGGAAGATGGGGAAGCCTTCTGAGACTTGGTCCCCTGTGAGTCTTCAAACCTGGAGAGTGTGGTGGGTGCAGAAGTGGAGTGAGGAGGCCAGGAACAATGTGTAAAGTATTATAATATTAGAACATTCTAGAACATGGACTCCTCAGTGTATCAAGATAAAAGCAGAACATATGAGCTAATGTGCATGAAATGGCTGGGGAGTAACAAAGTGCGGTGCAAACACAGAGCATTCTGTAGTCATACGGTTTTGATGTAACTTTGAAATCCATGTCAGCCACTTTTTAGTTTATACTTTATTTTCTCATTTGTGAACAAATATAATAATAACGTCTACCTTACTGAGAGGGTTGAATAATATTTAGACAGCTTTTGAATAGTGAGTGCTGGCAGTTGGTAGGCCCTGCTTGGCTATGTCAATCACTAGTTAATTCTTTCACCAAATTAACCGGTGATTTCCTGAGTCTGAATTTACCATTTGTATTTACTGGTTCTAGGTGGAGAATTTAGTGGTGGACTGCCCACTTTAGACAGTACTCCAAGTCCAGCATGCAAGAGAACAAGGTTTCTCACAGCTCTTTTAGCCAGACATTGTCTAACAAAAGAGGCAATTGATGACCATTCACAATGTTTTTAAACCTATATAAAGAGTCATTGATTCAGAACAGTTGCTGTGCCTGTGAAAAAGTATGTTTGATGGTTTCCATGGAGACCACCCTGCTGGCTGTTCTGCCGTCACTAGCCTTAATTATACGCTGGGATTGCCAGGGAGCCTTCAAAGCTGTCTCCATAACAACACCTTCTTGTGTAGTAACATGACCGCTGTACTGAACTGTACTTCCCATATAGGAGTTTCTCTTAAAAGAGTTCAGAAGGTTCTGCTGGTAAGTTTCAACGTCCATTTAATTTTTCCTGATGAAGAACTCTTAGCTGGATAGGAATTTTTCTGAGTTTTGACTGTCCGACTCTCAGGCTGTTGTGCCAGGTCTTGGGAGAATGGCCTCCCTAATGTCTTCCTTTTTTCAGGACATGTTGACATTTCTCCTGAGTTTTTTGCCAACATATGGAACTAAGAAGGAGTGTTGGCTATGTCAGTTTGCAAGATAAAATTACCCTGTTTAAGTACAGGATGAACTTGTAAAAGTATTGCCAGTAGATACTGTTAGGGTTTCATATTTGAAACTTCTAAATGTCTCCAAGACCATTGGTAAAACTCTTGCGGTTTCTGGTATAATTAAACAACAGGAAGAAAAAGAAGCAACAGCTTAGTGTCTTCTTAATGTGGAATCACATAGATTTCATGACTTCCAAATAACATAATTTCTTACTTTCCACTAATTTTTTTTAGATATATTTGTAGGGAAGTTCTAAAGCTTAACATTGAATCGTACCTTAAACTTCTGAGGAGACGACAAGTAAACAAATATATCAGGTTTTGGAATTAGACTTTTTTTAGGCTAAATTTCTGACGCCTGATTGCGTGTTGCGCTCACACCCTCGCCCTCCTCCCACCCCCACACCCCGCACAAGAGAGACTATTGAAAAATCCTGGAAGTGTAGTTACAATGCCCGTCACGTTTTGCTCTCGCCAGGGCAAGTCTGTGCTAAACAGAGTGTTAGTACTCGTCCTCCTTCTACTTCCTACTGTTACTATTATTTTTTCTAGTTTTATTGAGATATAATTGATATGAAACATCATATAAATTTAAAGTATATAACGTGATCTGATATTTGCAGATGCTGTGAAATGATCACAATACGTTTAGTCAGTATCTGTCATCTTACATGGTTACCAAAAAATGTGGAACGCTTCCCAACTTTAGGCGCCATCCTTCACAGGGGCCGTGCTAGGCTCAGCATCATTCTAGTTTTAGTGTTTGTGCTGCCGAAGTGAGCACTCTGGCTTCTTTTCCTTTACTCCTTTCATCCCCATCACTCTCATCATCATCATCACCCGTTGTTGGTTGTGGAGAAACTGTTGCTCTCTTTCTGGATGGTGAAAGTTAATCACAAAAGAGGAGGCTACCCCTCCTCAGTTCACTATTTGTATTCTCATTTTCTCAGCATTGTAAGACTCTTCACCCCTTCTCCCTGTTGCATTTAAAATCTCATTTGGAGCTATAACTTCCTGGGTTGCAGTTTTAGTGTTCCTTTATTTTCTCCCTTCAGTTGTAACTCAGCACCTTAATGTGTTCTGGAGTGATCTGATGAAAATAAATTATTAAACTCAGTGAGGCCGTGCTGTCATGTAACTTTTATGTTGAAAGAGTATGCTTAAAAAAAAAAATCTAATTATGGCTGTTTCCTAATTAAATCATTTTTCTCTTTCACAGTCTAAGCAGCTGTGGCAAGGAGAGTAATTTTTCATGGAAAATTAAAACCTAGAGGCAGCAGCATAATTTCCTTTACAGTCGCTAGCTGGGCAGTAATAACAGCATGTCGCCGTCTTTCCATGACATCACTGTTGAAGCAACAGGAACATGAAGTGGCAAGTTAGGGAGCTGCTCTGTTATTGTTGAGCTGTGTGGAAACAGCGCAGAAGTTAGTTATCTGGGAATTACTTGTTTCTGAACAAGATTTTCCCAGAGGGCACATGGGAAGGGAAATACAATTTTGGATTAAAGAAAAAAGTTTAAATTCCATTTCCTATTGTCAAAATAATTCATGGGGAAGTTAGTGATGTTAATGGACATTTTGCTATTTTGGATAGGTTGTTTTTCTTGTGTCTGATTATGAACTCTTAATTTTTTTCTGGGCTATTTTTAGTGCCATTGATCATCACAATGTTCTGTGCTGCAAAAATATGATAACAATTCTGGGTTTCACAACTTTTGACCTGAATGAATTTGCTTTAGTTTACTTATTGAGGAAATACTTTGAATTTCTGTAAATTTCCTGACTGCAGGGTTTTTTATGGGTGCTGTTATTATCCAAGATAATTTAAAGTACCTAAAATTAAAGGAGTTTTCGCAACATAAAGTTCCATTAATGGGGGACGTTTTACAAGGTTCCCCCTGGGGGACGAATTGGACAATGGACTGTGTACTCAGTCCATTGGAGGAGAGTATGGAATAAGTGAGTGCTGAGCTGATGTTTAAATACACTGATCTTATTTTATACACCTTTGCAGGTTTGTGCCCCCATAGCAAAAGTGGAGAAAGGTGGGCCCTGGCTAGCGTGGCTCAGTTGCTTGGAGAGTTGTCCCGTAACCAAAAAGTTGGGGTTTGATTCCTGGTCAGGGCACATACCTGGGTTGCAGGTTTGATGCCCGGTCCTGGTGTGTGTGTATGGAGGGCAACCGGTTGATACTTCTCTCGCATCTATGTTTCTCTTTCTCTAAAAGCAGTGAAAAAATGACCTCGGGTGAGGATAAAAAAAATTGTTTTTAATTGAGAAAGGTGGAATTCTACATGTATCTCGTGAAGGTGCCTTCAACGGCCCCCAACAATGTTCTTTTTGTTGTGCCATTTATTGTATGAGAACACTTTTCCTTATAAAGACCCTAAAACTGAGTTCCTCAAGGTGTGGCCAGACAGAGGCTAATCAGCAAATAGCTCTTTGGGCCCTGTACACGCCCAAAGCAGAGGGCGCTCCATGGGCAGGACTGAGTGCCTGTGCCGTGAGAGAATGAGCTGCCATGGTCAGAGCCGACAGAATGCAGCCGTTCTGGCGGAATCTGAATGAGCAGGCTTTTATTACTTGAAAGCTAGGTTTTGACACGTAATCAGAAGGAATGACATGTGGACCTGAAGGACTTAGTAGATACTTACTTGTGCGAGATTGTGACCGTGGTGTCCTGACACCCCGCAGGATCCTTCCCCACTCCGTTGTCCTGTTCTCTCCCCCAAAGTGTAATTTGAGTGTAAATAGTAATTTGCTCATTGTTTACTGTTTAAAATTTCTCTCTTACAAAAAAGTGGTCTAAACTTATTCCTCCCCCTCCCCCCCACCCCGTCTCTGCGTTGGCCCTTTCAGCTGACTCAGGCATTCTTTAGGTTAAGTTTTCTGATGTTTTCGTTTCTACACTAGTGGACTGCATCTGACCGTAAGGCCAGACAGTTAGCTACAAGCAGGTTGTGCTTGTTTATATAACTTTAAAATAGCCATCAATTAGTCAAATATATGGCAAAACAAAACCTTTTTGCAGTCAACAACGCATTGCCTGACGCCATGTAACCTCAATTAGCTGGTAATTTGCGTTTGTAACTTTATTTGATTGTTTGTGTGCTTTTCTGGAGGGTGCTAGTGTGGGGAGGTTTTATGGGGAACAGGCTCTCCTTGGCTACATGTCCACATCCGTCTTGTCCTGTGACTTCTGAGGGGCAGGGGTGCACAGGGAAGCTGGCCCACAGTTGCATCTGTCCCCAAGAAGAATTCCATCTTGTTTCTTTTCTGCCTTACTTTAAGCCATTATTCCCTATTTGGGGCTTTGTGTGTTTTCTGCATAAATTTCTGGGCATGTCGTTATGTTTGGCCTATAATATGGTAGGTGATTAGTCAAGATTTGGTAAATAAAATGCCCGCCATTTTTCTTCACCTCCATGTCAGGAGATTTTTGCTTCAGAAGAGGATTTACACTTTTATGGAAAAAGCTGTTACCATACTAATGTTGGCCTTTTATAAAAGCAAAGTGGCATAAAGTGAACTTTGAGAAAGCGGGGGTACTGTTTGTTTTATGCTCTTCTGCCTTTCTAAAGATTTCATAGGAGCACTTTACTTTCAGATAAAGAAGGGTAACAGAAGTATCAACCCTAAAGATTGTTGGATGAGTCTTCAGTAGGGAAATGCAGTTTTCAGTATGTATGAGACTGGTTGTAAGACAGTGGGAATTGAGACAAAAGTGGTATAAAATCTGGTGTGGTTTGATGGCTAAAATGTGAGAGACTGGCAATACCAAGTGTTGGTGAGGATGGAGAATAACATTTCCGGTTTAGAGACACTACAGCTCAGTAAGGTCTGTGTTACAACTGAGCAGTCCCACCCCTGGTACAAGCCCAAGAGAAACGAAGGCATACATGCACCACAGGACGTGTTCAGTGTGACGGATTTAGATGGAGGTGAGGGTTGCGTAACTTTTGAACACACTAAAAACTAATGAATTGTTGCTTTAACTGGATATGTGCATTTGAAAGAACAGTGAGACAGTTATTTTTTTAAAAAGACATCTTCAAGAATATCCATGGTGGTTTTATTCATAGTCGCCTCAAACTGGAAGAAATAGTCCCTACATCGGTCCAGGAGAAATAGATTCTGATCTGTCCATACAGTGGAATACTACACTTCAGTAAGAAAAAGCCCGCAGCCACACCGATGGCCCAGGACGGGCGCGTACTGATGGGGAAGGAGCATGAGAGGAGCCCTGTGAGATACTGGAAGGTTTTGTGTCTCTGTCTAAGGATGGTAACATGGATGTTTACAGATGTAAACATTCAGTTAGCTCTACACTTAAGATTCAGGCTCTTTATGCACTTTACTGTATTTATGTTTTATTTCATTAAAAAAAAAATATGGGTGCTGGAATGGCGTCATCCTCAGAAAGCACAGCCCACAGCGCTGAACCTCCTCTCCTGCCAGCACTGGGAAGGCCCAGGTGTTGGGCGCAGCAGCTATTCCAGTAGCCTCCCCCCACCTCCGGCTTTGACATTGTCTGTGTCCTGCAGGTGGCCGGGGGTTCCGCTCACTAGGGATAGGAAAGAACCCACCTGCTGGTGTCTTGCTCTTCTGGGCGGTGGCCACCAGTTCTCTTGAATGTCATTGTTTGAGAGGGTTTCTAATGAATACTCAGCTCAGTGCCAAGGTAAAGAAAGTGAGCTCAGGCTTCCAGGTAGCATCGCAGAGGTATTTACTGTTCCGCTGATGCTCCTCAGGCGACGCCCATGCCCTGTCAGGTGTACTTTTCCCTTAGGGGCTGAACTAATTAAGGAAAATGGCAGAGCTGCCATGCTCTCGGGCCTTGTGGTTTGATACCAAGAGAGCTCTGCTCACCACTGGGCTCTCCTGCTGAGCCTGACCAAGCAGCCTCCCTGGGAGACGCTCTCAGGCTTGCTGTGTTTGTTCCCCTCCCTCATGCCTCTGAGGCTCCCCTTGGCCTTATGGCTTTGGAGCTGGCAGTCGGTCATGTCTGGATGCATGTGCATGTTAACATGTACTGTGGCTGCGGTGATGGCGAGGAGAGGAGAAGCTTTATGTGGGGGTGGAGGAAGGGCCAGACCCCCCGGGGCTAGGGGTGGTGACCGACCCTGGAGGGCCTGCAGACTAACCCGTGCCCTATGGTCAGGCTGCGCCCCACAGGCTGGTTGCTGCTGCTGCAGGGAGAGGGCGAGGGGCACCCGTAGCCAGGCCTGTGCGGTGAGAGGGCACCTTCCCGATTCCAGGCAAACAGAAGCCCCGCCCTCCTCTCCTGTGCTATTGGCAAAACATGATATGATTTTTGCTCCATAGGATGCAGCTCATTAACCAGTCAGATTTTAGATCTACTTAACCCTCACCGAATACCTGAAATAATAAAAGTATAAAGTGGTCACAGGTAACATTGTACATTCCCAGTGTGCCAGTCCATGTGGTTGGTAGACACACATTTCTTATTTAATTCTCATCATGATCTTGTGTGGCCCAAACTACGTGCTTCTCTCACCTCTTTAGACAAGAGGAAACAGAGGTGTTACGTAACTGGTCTAAGCCAGAACAAAGGAGTCGGACCAAACCCAGGTCTTGACTGCAGGAGGCGCCCCTTCTGGTGGGTCTTTTCGGAATGACCCCGTCGCAGAGAGTCTCCTTCATAACAGGGGTGACATTTAGAGGCTGAGTCTGAATGTGATTGTAACGTGTTACCACCCAGGGACTCCCCCGCACGTCATCGTTCCAGTTTTCCTTACTGAGTAACCACACAACATAGAAA